ATTAGGAATCGCTACACATTGCCCTGAGGTTCCTGTGATGGAGGGCTAAAGGCCACATTCCTCTTTCCTGTTGTCAACAAAGCCCACTAACCAACCAACACGCAATTTCCCAAAGGGGTCACTCTACCACCTTAGTATGAGGATGACTAGAAAGTGAGCTTTTGGTGAATGCACTCTGGCCTTGACTCTTAGATTAGGGCTGCTTGTTACTACAGTGTGGCGGTTTGAATAAGAATGGCCCCAGAGACTCATGGATTTCAATGTATGGTCATTATGGGCTGGTGCTATTAGGAGGTGTGGCCTTGTTGGAGAAAGTGGGCATTGGGGGTGGGCATTGGGGTTTCGAACACTCAAGCCAGGCCAGTCTCTCTCTCTCTCTCTGTCTCTCTGTCTCTCTCTGTCTCTCTCTGCCTCTCTCTGTCTCTGTCTCTCTCTGTCTCTGTCTCTGTCTCTGTCTCTCTCTCTGTTCTGTAGATCCAGATATAGAACTCTCAGCTCCTCCACGACCACATCTACCTGTATGTCAGTGATGACAATGGGTTAATAATCTCTGAACCTGTAAGCAAGCCAATTAAATGTTTTCCTTTATAAGAGCTGCTGTGGTTATGGTGTCTCTTCATAGCACTGAGTAAAACAGACATCTTAACCTAACCCACTCTGACTGGCACAGTCCTTGTGTGCTTATTAGTTTTTTGTCACAGTGATAAAATGCCTGAGATAACTGACTTAAAAAATAAAAGGAAATAGGGAAATCGCTTTATTTTCAGAGGTTTCTGTTCATGGCTCACTGGGATCCATTGCTTTGGGCCTATGGTGAGGAATACAAGATGGTGGGAGGATGTGGCTGAGGAAGTTGCTTACTTTATGAGGAAGCAGCTGAAGGAGGGAGCGGGGAGCAGAGTCGCAGTCAATGGCACGCCCCCAGTGACCATTTCTTTCCCACCTTAGAAAGGCTCCACCTCCATTGGCGTCAAGGCGAGGGCCATCCTGTGCTCTGTACCCCCACCTCACCCGGAAAGTCCGAGGCTGGCAGCAGGAGGCTCTCAGGGCTCCAGAAATGCCAGTTCCTTGTCTTCTCCTGTATCTGGGTGACAGTGGCACATCTACATCATGTGGGAAGGTGTTTAAGCCTCCTTTGCTGGCAAGCAACACGAACTAACCCAGGCTGGCTCAAGCCACTGCCCAGAACATGAGTTGGGCAGATCTGGAGACTTCTAATCAATAGCATAGGTCTTCGGAGGGAAAGCAACGGTGCAGGCTTCAGGAACTATGGTTCTTGGTACCCACTGACATTCTCCCCGGGGACAGTCAAGTGGGGAAGGGTTACCTCTCACCTCCGGATAAAGTTCAGACTCCCAGGAGGAAAGAAAATCTGACCAGTTAGCTCCCACCAGTCACTGTTTCATGCTTAGGTAAGTGTCTGGCACACAGCACAGGGTCTGGGCCAGAGACGCTGCGTGGCAAAGACAGTGGGGAGCAACATTTGCACACAGTCATCTGCTGTTGACTCGCACCTCCTCTCAGGAGGGCCTACTCCCCACTTCCCCAAGGACAGGGGATTTTGTCACTTCATCCAGCACTCGTGGGAGCTCTCGTTGACGTTTCTCAGGTGCCAGGCTTGTCAAGGATTCTGGGATGAAAACAGTCTTCACCACCTTCTGAGGAGAGAAAACACAGTAATGCAAGGCTGAAGGGCCTGGGCCTGGGCCTGGGGAGGGTCCAACTGAGACAAGGCCCGTCACTGAGAATTCAGTCATCTCCTTCATCTGTCCAGGGGACGCTTAGAACTGGCTGACATAGTCACGGAAGGTTCTAGAAGGCGTTATCCTTCTCTACAAAGGTGTTAGCCTTCTCTACATGTATGGCTCCTTTGTTTTCTTACTGTGTGTGTGTGTGTGTGTGTGTGTGTGTGTGTGTGTGTGTGTACAAATTCGCGTTCCACAGCATGGTATGTGGAGGTCAGATGGTAACTAGTGGGAGTTGGTTCTCTCCTTCCACCATGCGGGTCCGGGAGACTGACCTCAGGCTTTCAGACTTGGCAGCAGGCGTCTGCACCTGCTGAGCCATCTTGTAGTCCAGGAATGGCTTCTGTGTGTTCACCATCCTTGACACCCTGAGTGGAGAGGGAGACCTGCCCTTTGGTCTTACTCTGGGCTGGCCTGTGAAGTTTCTTCAGGTAAGTCGCTTGCCCCTGGTTCCCATACTTATCCCCAACCCCCTCTTGGGACTCGCTCTGACTATCTCCAAGCCAAACTATCTTCCCACTCTTTGGAGGCCTGACCAGATGCCCTGTCGTTATTTTTGCTCCTATTCTTGAAACAGTCCCTGTGGAAGAAAAGAAAAAAATGTCACCCAGATAAAGAAGATAAAGACACAAAGCATTAAAAGAGAAGAAAACAAGGAGTGACATTTGGAAAAGTTTAGACAAGAATGGCTTGGCAGGGCTGAATTTGGGAGGCAGGAGAAAACCAGAGCCTGGGGGACTAGGGATAGATGGTCCCAAATCCATCTGCCTCTATCTTAATCACCAAGGCTTCAGACTGGCCTCTGCATCCAAGATCTGTGAGTCTTCAAGATCTAAGCAGCCAACCTATGTGAGACAGTGAAGAGCCCAAGGTAGTCTTTAAGCAGACCAGGCTCACTAAGATGAAAGCTCTGCACCGCGGCAGAAAGGGATGGGGAAGAAAAGAAACTAGCTTGGAGCTTAGAGCCGAATAGAGAGCAAGCCCAGTCTTTGCTTTGATGTTGCATTGCCTTGGGTTGTACAGCAAGCTTTGACTTCCTCTTCTTCAGAATGACTGTGGGTGGGCCACCTGGGGCTGGGTAGCTAGTTGTTGATTCTTTGGTATTTTCTCCAAGACCCCTCCCATACCGCCCCCTCCTTTATTCTGTTGAAACAGTGTATAGTGTAGCTCAGGCTGGCCTCAAATTTGTTTCATAGCCAAGGATGATCTTGAACTCCTGATCCTCCTCCCTCCATCGCCTGAATACTGAAATTATGGGTGTGCCCGTGTACCTAGTTTATTCAGCCTTAGAGACTGAACCTAGGGCTTTGTGCCTTTTTTTTTTTTTTTTTTTTTTTTTTTTTTTGGTTTTACGAGACAGGGTTTCTCTGTATTGTTTTGGAGGCTGTCGGTCCAGCCTGGCCTCGAACTCACAGAGGGCTTTGTGCCTTCTAAGAGAGCCGTTTATCAACTGAGCTATGTCCCGAGTCCCACTGCCTTTTCCCCAGGGCCCTGTCAGTGGGATAGAGCTTTCTGCCTTGGAATCTACAAGTGGTGCAGATTCCTTACCCAGCCTCCCCTCACTCTGTTAGACCTGACTTTGCTCCAGTTTCTTGGGAGGGACAGTGGGGTCATTTGTGACTCCTATTAAGCTCCTCAGTGGCCGCAAATACAGCCATCCATAGAGTGAGACATATGGGGGGAATGTTCTGGGTAACAGACCACCACAGCCACTGTCTTGTTTCAGGTTCTTGAGGTTCAGGGTGTCAGCTCCCTTCTCAGACGGCTTACACATGCTGCTGTCTGTCACAGGCTTCCAACTCTCGATTTCACACAGACACACAAAAATGAGGCAACTCTTCTCTGTCTTCACAGTTATGGAAACACTGCAACTGGTCTAATTAGTCAGGCTTGGCTCAGGTGGTCACACTGATGCCAATCACGGTCTCCTTCGGATCATAGAGCCAGAACGGTTCGGAGCAAGTTAACCATGTCTTTTATTTGTTGATCCCTTCTCTCTGTTCTAACCATTCCCATCTAAGTTGACACAACACTGTCATTTGCAATCTGTGGCTTCCTGTTCCCTACCCTGGTACTCGGGTCTCTCTGCTACAGAGTACAGCCAACATGCAGTCCTGCTGGCTTTTCCGTGTTCAAGGAGGCTCTGTGCTCTTCCCACCTGCCTTAAACATCACCCTAACCCCCCCCCCACACACACAACACACCTCCCACCCTGGCCTCGCATGCTGGGCCAGCAGCTTCCCTGTTAGAGGAGTCACTTTTGGTATAACAGGCGCTGCTTCCACTAACCACAGCATCCCTTTGTGAGAAGCCCCTGGCAAACAGGTCATTTAGTAGCTGGCTCACGGCTTGCTTAGCTTGGAGAGGTGAAAGAAAGGAGAGGCCATAAGTGACTTGCTTCAGGGTGTGGTGAGACAGAAGGGAGAATCTAACACACCTCCTGGGGCCATGGTGAGTGCAGGTTACTGGCTGTCAGCCTTGGCCATTCTCATTTTAGCCTGGCGAAGCATCAGCTGCCTTCCCTCCAAAATTGTGTACGTGTGTGTGCTCAAGTGCCAATGCACTTGCACAAGCGTGTGTGTGTGTGTGTGTGTGTGTGTGTGTGTGTGTGTGTGTATACATGTGGAGGTCAGAGGTTAGCATCATGTCTCCTTCAATGGTGCCCCACCTTGTTTTTTTTTTGGTTTGGTTTGTTTTTTTTGTTTTGTTTTGAGACAGAGTAGACCAGGCTGGCCTTGAACTCGAAGAGATCTGCCTACCTCTGCCTCTTGAGTACTGGGACTAAAACTATGTTTCATTATGCTGGGACACTCTTTGTTTTTGAATGACAGGTCTATGGCTGTTTGTGTTGGTGTTGGTGTTTAACTGGTTGCTTGGTTTGGGGGTTTTGTTGTTCTTGCTCAACCAGACTCAAGCTCACTAAGTAACTGAGGATGGCCTTGAACTTTGATACTCCTGCCTGTACTTCCCAGCACTAGGATTACAGTCCTGCACCACTATGCCTGCTTTATGTGGTCCCAGGGATTGAAGCCAGAACTTTGTGCATGGTAGGCAAGCACTCTTCCAACCAAACGGCATCCCGAGCCTCCAGGCCTGAGGGTTTTTTAAGGAGGGCTACGGTAAGTGCATGAAGGTGAATGAGCCCCAGGGACAAAGTTGGAGACACAGGACTGACTGATAAGGGTGTAGGTGGTGGCAGCCCAGAGTGGTAGGACCTAAGAGGCCTGGCCTGTTTATTCAGACCTCGTCAGACATGGGATAGAATCACCCTGTAGCCTCTGTGTCCTCCTGCTGCCCCCTGAGACTTTCAGTCATTTCCAAACGAGGGGACTGCAGTCTCCTGGGATCAGACCCCAGAGCAGAGAGACTGGCCTGAGAACCAGAAGTCTGGCATGGGGCCCAGCTGTGTGACACCTGAATCCTGGGGAAGGTGTCTGAATGGCTAGGCCCATGGAGCCTCCTGGGATAGCCAGGGACAAGGAGGGGCAGCTCATATTTCACCACTGCCTGGTGTATGACCTGAGCTTGGGTGGAAAACAGAATCGCATCAGGACCTGTCCCCTTAGGGCGACACTTTCCACCATGTCACAGGGACCTCTTGGGATATTAGGTTTGTAGCCTAGAAGTAATGGGACAATATTTTAGCCATACCCCAAGTCAGAGCCTTCATGTAGAAGGTATGAGAGATGAGCTTGGAGCCTACATGCATGAGGTGGGTTTGGAGGGACATACCTAAAATCCCAGCACTTGGGAGGTGGAGGCAGGAAAACCAGCAGTTCAAGGCCAGCCGCTGATGCATATTGGGTTTGAGGCCACTCTAGGTTACAAGAAGCCCTATGTCAAAGGCTGGGGCCCTAGTTCTAAGGTAAAACCCTTGCACAGCATGAGCAAAGCCCTGAAAATCAGACAAACAAAAAGAGAGTCTCCACAAATACCAGGGGTTCATGAGCGAGCTGTGGTGTGCACATCTGGTGTGTGTATGTGCAGGTGTCACCGGGGGACCAGTAACCTCCCCGATATTTACTTTCAGTCTATTGACTGTGACCTTGGGCAAGAGATAGCCTTTGGGGGCTTTGGTTTACCAGGGTTCTGACTCAAGGGCCTAGAGCAGATGGCATTTCTTCAAATTATATTCAATGTCAGCATTAAGTGGGATTTATTTTAGAAACTAGATTCCTGAGGCTGTGGGGATGTTCAGTCAATAAAGTGCCTGCTGCTCAAGCATGAGAACCCCAGTTCCTTCTCCAGCACCCACATATGCTGCTGGGCATGTCAGCGCACATCTGCAATCCTAGCACTGGGAGACACCGACAAGCGGATCCCTGAGCCTTGTAGTCTAGCCAAATCATTGCACTCCAGATTTAGGGAGAGAGCACATCTTAAAAGGCAAGGTGGAGGGGCTGGAGAGACGGCTCCATGGTGACGAGCCCTGGATGCTCTCCCAGAGGACCTGTGTTTGATTCCCAGCGCTCACAGTTCACAACAGCCAGCAGCTACAGTTCCAGGGGATCCAACACCCTCTCCTGGCCTCTCAGAGAGCTCACACATGTGGTGTACAGACATACAACCAGGCAAGACCACTCACATACATAAAATAAATAATCTTAAAAGTGGAGGGACAGTGATTGAGAAAGAAACCCAGTGTTGACCTCTGGGCTCCCCATTCACAAGTACACACGTGCTCACACAGCTGCACATGCACAGCAGAGGGTGAAGGCCGGAGAATCTAACATCTCTGGGCCCAGGACACCGACTGCTGGGCACATAACAGGCCCAGGCCAGTTCTGGTGTGACTAAGGTGCTGTTGACACCGCTGGAAACACTGACTCAAGATCTGACTGAATCCAAGCCTGGGCAGCCTTGGGAGGAAATCGAGGCCATTCTAGAACACTGGAAGGAGCTAGTGACAGGGA